TTATCCTTTACCCACTTTCCTATTAAGTTCTTGGTCTTTTTCATGATCACGTCTATAAACTCGTAGTAAATTAGAAATCAACCCTTAGTTTGTCACATGTTACAAATATTTCCCCCACTTTATCATTTCTTTTTGACTTCATTTATAGTCTATGATGCTTTTCGGATGATTTTAATTTTGTGTGTTCAAATTTATCTTTATTTTTCTTCCTGATTTCTGAGTGCATCAGTTTATAATTCAAAAAAATTCAAGTTGCTCGTGTGTGTGTGTGTGTGTAAATTATATCAAACATACAATAGTAAAAGCCCACTAGGGGGAAAGAATATGGCACCAAACCATTCCCTGGGGAGATCTCTACCTCCCAGGCCATGTGGCTCAGTAAATCTCATAGTCACTGGCTTCATTAATTTTGTAAAATTTATGGCCAGGAGTATATTAGGAGCAGCAAAATGATTTGATGAGCCAGTTAGGGATCTTGTCTTAAAGCCTCTTTTGCACACCCAAGTGTATTGGAAGCTTTTACTAAAGGTTTCCAAAAATTTGCTTTTCTTTCCAGTGGTCAACTATTCTCGTTACACTATTCTTCCTATGCAGTAAGCAGCCTAAGAATTATGTGTATGTGTGTGTAATGTGTGTGTGCACATGAACATTCCTGTATTTCAATTTTTTTCCCTTTTTTCTTCCTATTTTTATAATTCGTCTTTACTTGTGATATCTGAGAGATCCTGAAGATTATGGAGCTAGATCTCTTCTAAAATACCCCTCTCGAGCCACCCCAGGCAGCTCCCGTGCCTCTGTGTCTTGGCAAGCACCACCCTACTTTGGGGCTTCCTCCTGAGTCATTCTGTCCAGCCCAGAGCACCCTTGTGTCTTCCCAGAAATATCCCTGAATAGAGCAGTTCAGAATAGGGCGTGGGAATGGGCCGGAGGTTGTAAATCCATTTTCCTACTTGGCACGAAGAGGTCAGAGGAGCCCGGGCCAGGCAGCTGAGAAAGAGAAGAGCTGGCGTGCCCCGAGGAACAACCTAAGGCCTTTTGGGCCCAAAGGGCCTCCCTCTGCCACACTAAATGCAAACCATTCAAAAAACAAAACAAAACAAAAACCAGGAAAAGATACTGGTCTTGTGGAATTAAAAAAAATAAAATGCATTCTAAACAACAACAAAAAAAAATCCTGCTCTAGCTCTCCTTTTCACATGGCATGTGTTGTGTCATAACTTAAGTTCGCAGTTGTTCGGTGACACATCCTTAGACTGAAGCTCATGCTTCCGTTTGTAAAATAAATGTTTCCCCGATCCTATGCTCTAGTTCCTCTTCGCGTCTGGGCATTCCCGGGACCAGCCTCTCTTTAGTCCTTTCCTTCTCTTTAGGCCAGTTGTACAGCATCCTACAACACTGTCCCTTTAAATGACCTCTTCCCAGTCACATTTTGTGGCCCATCGCTGTGGCACAACTAGCAAAAATGAGACACAGCTTTCGTACAACCAGAGGAGTCTCCTTTCATACTTCGTCATTGTCATTGAGGAAGTAGGTGTGATTAAGCAATGATGGGGGTCTTGGTTAGGGGGAGTTACTTCCTGTGTCCTCAAGGTCCAAAGGCCCCTCCTGCCTCAATGCCTGGGCCTCATCTGCTCAGGTGTCATCGGCCCTGATTGTGACCAGGTGTCATGGAGAGTGCCCATGCCCCTCCTCATCTTTATCATCTCCATCAACTCGAGATGAGCTGGGAGCTCCCAAAAGGCCTTAGACTGAGCATTCCTTGGGTGAGTTTCCTTCTTGCTCAGCATCTAAAGACAAGTAGTGACACATGTAGTTTCTGCCTGTCCAGTTTTTCCTAACAGGTCTTCACCAGATCAGAAAGCTCACCTTTGTGTGTGGTATTAGTAAGGAAATCTAGGAGCCAGATCCAATCCCCTCTCACCCTGGTGGGTCCAGGGAGTGGGCATGTGATTTAGACTCAATTAGCCACATGCTCATTTCCTGGTCTTGGAATCTTGAGAGGAAGGTAGGCAAACAGAGATGGTGTAACATCCCCAGGACTCATGGGGTGGGCAGACTAGACTGTTTCTGCTACTTGATTGTTGCTGTGGTTCTTAGGACTTGTTCTCAACCCTGATCCCTCAACTCCCATTTACTCTGTGAGTTCCTTGATATTCTTTCAGTAAGTCCCATTAGAGTTAGCCAGAGTAGTCCCCTGAAGTTTTTAACCAAGAGCACTCACTGGTAGAACAGAGCTTCTGTCACCCCTGTAGTTTGGTGGATGAAGAAAGGAATTGCTTGGAGGAGCAACCCTACTCACTGAACTGTGCTGTGTTTCTGAATTTGTTTGCTGTCTCAGGCTGGTCTTAGGGCACTGGCTTGGGTTCCAGGACCACAATGCCAGGAAATGGTCTTAAATGTGACTTGCTCTCTATCTAAATGTGGGATGAGTTGACATTGGCCAGGACCAACTTCTCAGAGAATCAGGCACAGGACAGAAATGGTTGGATCCAGGATTCTCCTGTGACAAGTTTCTTGTGGTCATGGGTTGGCTTGGGATAGGAGAAGAGGAAAATGAACTCAGGCTGCTGGGAAGTTTCAAATGTATCCCACCCCTCAATCTCCAAACCCAACCACACAAATAATTTCCCATTTGTGTAAATTTCCATTCCCAGTGAGGATGGAAAAGTGGAGATACAAATTTTTGTTAATACACAAGATCATCTCATGAATGATCATCCTCAATCATTTTGGAGATCTTGCTCTCTAGGAATGCTGACCACTGGAGAGGTGGTGTCTAGGAATTCTGCATCCAGGCACTTACTGCACATTTCCCAGGCTAGCCTGGAGGTGGTGCTGTTTGCATGTGGTCACTTGGGCCCAATAATTTAAGATGCTACCGTGCCAGGGATGTAGCATTCAATAGCTGAACCTCACTTTGCATCCTTAAAAAAAATTTTTTTAATGGAGCATACTGGGGATTGAACCCAGGATCTCATGCACTCTACTACTGAGCTATACACCACTCCCCCCTACTTTGCATCTTTATATTTAAAGAGGTTAATTAGTGGAAAATGAATGAAATTCAAATATCTTTGGAGTGGTGCAGAGAACTTTCTAAGAATGACACAAAACTCAGAAGCTATAAATAGACAAGATCGACAAATTTGACGGCATAAACATCTCAAGTTTCTGTATAAAAAAAACAAAAAAACAAAAAGCAAAAAGCAAACTGAGAAAGATAGTAGCAACTTCTGTGACAAAGGAATCATTTTCTTAATATACAAGAGCTCTTATGAGTAAATCCAATTTAAAAAGTGGGAAGAAGATATGCACAATCAGTTCATGGGAAACGAGATTAAAATCACCAGCAAACACGAAACATTTCTCAAACACTCATAAAATGAAAACGAAACTTAAATGAAAATTAAAACAAATGTCATTTGATTGTGCGTGCCCCCAATGATTGCTCCGTATAAAAATACACAAATGTTCCATCACAGATCATTAAGAGTGTCTTTCTCTCCATTCTTATATTTCCTCCTGGGGTTTCCAGGCAGTTTCTCACCTGTTGTCATATGGTGATGGGGCAGCCATTTCTTCAAGGGCGCCAACCGTGGGAACACTACGAAAGAGGCCAATCTCCCACTCTCACCTCCTAGTGCTAAGACTGACAATAAGTAACATTGGGATAAGTACTAAAATGGAGACGTTGAAGAGGTGCGCTAGGGGCAGCGTCTCTGCCTAGGGAGGTGATGATGGAGTGGGCTCCACACAAGAGAGGATGGACGAAAGCATGGTAATTCTGTGGTACTAAAGGCAGGACAGGGCTTTCCTCCAGACGCCGGAACACCACGTGAGAAAACAAAGGGGTGTCGTAAGACAGGTATGTGTGGATCTGCAAATTGAGGGAGGGGCGCCGGGCTCGGACCAGAAAGGACTTATTCGGTGCAGATTCCTTTCCTGCCCCCGGTGTGCGTCGAGGGGCCTAATAATATTACTTGCCACATAGTTCACAGCTGAAAGGGACCTCCCATCCAACTTTCCCTTTTTACAGAGGAAAGGACTTATGGAGGACTTAAAGAAGTGAAACGATCTGCTCTGGCCCACACTAGGGACTTGACGGCCAGTCGGCGCACTTTCCTACCTCTGGCCCTCCGGCACCCCGTAGGTTATCAACCCAAAGCTACGCTCCCTGGCCCGAGGTCTCGGTCGGCTCGGCGGACTACATCTCCCACAATGCCTTCGGCCCAGCCTCCCTCCCGCCTCCCGCTGGGTCTGTCCCCGCCAGTAGGAAAGCGAAGTTTCCAGGGGCTGTTCTCGGCAGCCAATGAGCGTGGCGGGGGGCGGGCCTCTCCCGTCCATTGTTCTCGGTGCCCCTCGGGCTTGAGCCTCCGTGACTCCGGAGGGGCCGGGCCGTGCCTGGGGGCACTTTTGTGCGCGGAGAGGCCGCCCGAGCGGGATTTGGTTTCTGGAGAGGTGAGCCTGGAGAGACAGAGCTGGAGCCGCGCGGGCTAGGGGAGTAGCTCGAGGCGAGGGGATAACGGGCCTGGAGCCAGTGCGGGCAGCCCTGCTGGGGGAGGGGCGTCGGGGGCGCTGTCCGCATCCCGCGCGGCGCCGCTGTGCGGGTTTAGGCTCCCTGTCCGCTCAGCCGCCGGACCCTGACTCTTCTCCCTAGCGGTGAGCTTGTACATCCAACCAGAGGCGCACGGTTTGGACTGGAAAGCACATTGGACGACATCCTGCTTAGCTCCTCATTTTACAGATGGGGAAACTGAGCTTTAGAGGGGGTGTGTCTTGTCTCAGGTCAGACAGCGAATAAGCTGACTAGGAGCAGTTTTCCTGGGGTCCCAAGTAAGAGCTGTGTTATATCTGTTTCTTCTAGCCATTTGGTAAATACACATTGAGAACTTAAGTGTCCCCACTAGCTTTTCTTTTTCCCTCTTTTAAAAAAGTTTTTCCTTCCCTATTTTGGAGGGAGGGGTGTTATCTGAGTCTTTATAATGCAGTAATAATATTTTAAAATAACTTTTCATTGCGTTTTAGTCTTTATTTTAAATAATTTGTAATATCACTGCTCACAACATTTTGTAAAATTTCCATCCAGGTTTTTTTTTCTTGTGTATGTGTTCATTTTCTTTTTTTTTAAGGAATTGGGGTCATACTGTGTCTATGGTTTTTCTGCCTCGCTTGTTTTGTTTTTATCCATTGATTTTCACATTATGAGGGTTATCTTAAATCATTAATAATTAATAATCCTTGTCAGCATAATTTTTTAAATATTTAAAAATCATACAGCAGAGTGCACGAATCTTAAATTTCATATGCATGCTCTTATGCAACCATTGTCAAATCAAGATACACAACATTTCCAGCTTCTTTGAGCCTCTTCTCAGTCAGTAACCCCCGCCCTCAAAGGTAGCCATTATTACGTCAGAATAGTTTTTAATATATTTTACTAAATTTATATTTAATATGGATGTGCCATAATTAACTATTCTGCTGCTGGATTTTTAATGTGTCAGATTTTTTTTTGCAATTAGAAACAATGCTATGGTTGTGTGTCTTTGGAAATAAATTTCTCATAGCAAAGATGGTTATTTTTATGGATAAATTCCTGAGGGAGTAAGTTAGATCTAAGAGTATGAACATTTTTAAAACTTCACATTTTAAAATATGGTAATAATGCAGTTGAGATATTACCTTCCTTCTAGTCAGGCTCAAAGTGCTTTGACATCTGATCCTTTGCTAATCCTTAAGATGTCCCCTTCAGATAAGTAGGATGGGTGTGATTATCTCTACTTACTAGGCGATCAGTGAGGTTAAGTGACTGGGTTGTATATTAGGTCAAGGTCACTCACTCTGCCAGTAAGTCTGAACTGACTCAGGGCAGGATAACTCAGTCCTAGGTTCTTGTGAGGGCTTTGAATTTCTGATACTCATACTTTGGTCTCTTGGAAAGAAAAATACTGTGTTTTTTATACTTGTGATTCTTCTTTTCTTGCCATAGAAATGTTTTCAAGAATAAGCCATTTTTCCTTTAAGAAGGGCAGGAAACCTCTGTTGATTTGCTGATGTAAGAATCACTTGGTGGCCTGACCTGGGCTGCTGTGAGTTTTAGGACAGTTTACTTATTGATTCTGGTTCTTTCTTGTTCTTAGGCAGACTGCTTGTTGAAATTTGAGGAGGGAGCTGCCTTCTCGGAGAGCCTGGCTGGAAAAGACTAAAGTTCAAGGTTAGAAGCCCCGAGACCGTGGATGATGGCCTCGGAGGTGCCGAGAGTAACCACTTCTCTGAGCCCCTTAGTCCAGGTGCCTCAAGAGGAGGATGAGCAGGAGGAGGAGGTGGCCACCATGATCCTGGAGGACGACTCCTGGGTGCAGGAAGCTGTGCTGCAGGAGGATGGTCCTGAGGCCGAGCCCTTTCCTGAGAGTGCTGGCAAGGGCAGCCCCCACGAGGAGGCAGCCGGGGGGCCACAGGGTGCACTTGGCCGCCTTCGAGAGCTCTGTCGGCGCTGGCTGAGGCCAGAAGTGCACACCAAGGAGCAAATGTTGACAGTGCTGCCAAGGGAAATTCAGGCCTGGCTGCAGGAGCATCGGCCCGAAAACAGCGAGGAGGCAGCGGCCCTGGTGGAAGACTTGACCCAGACCCTTCGGGACAGTGGTAAGATGCAGACCCTTATAAGGTGAGGGCGGGAGCACCCCTCTGAGGTGGAGGGGTGTGGGTTTGCAGAGGAGGAGAAGGTGGTATCCAGGACTGAGTCTGAGTCGGCGTCATCCCTCTACTCTGTCTGCAGGCAGTCAGCCCATTGTCATGCTTTTTAACACCCTGGTTGTGTACAGTGACAGTTCCAGAATTTCGGTGTAAGAGGGGCTTAGAGGACTATTCTTGGGGCTACATTTACAGAGTTAGCACAGTTTTTACTTCTATGTTTATCTGGAGTGGTTGGGAAGCTGATGGAGGTTATGGGGGGGCAGGGGCTGGGAGACCCTGTAAACCACCCTTTGGCACTTTCACCCGGTTGTACAGTAAACACCCAAATATTTAAGTTCCAACAGTCAGAAAAACCAAATCCTATTTTTTAAAAGTGATTATTTTTGTGAAATCAAGGTAAATGACTAGTAAACCAGCTAATAATTAGGGACTTATCTGTGGTATAAAGTCATCCTGGGGTCTTAAAAGAGTAATTCCAAACTTGAGCTTTTTGCAACAGTTAGTATATTTGTCTGTTGTGTTATTCATACATTGTGGGATCCAGATGTGCCATTTAACAACTCTCCCTCCATTCTGGTCTTCAGTTGTAACTGGACTCCCTTGATTACCAGATATTTACTCAGATCTACCTGCACTGTCAGGACCCATGGGAAATGATGGCTGGCTGCCTCTGTGCTGCTAAGTGTAGAAGTTCAGAAAAAGGAGTGGGGAGAGGAGAGGTCAGAGAAGGTGTCACAGAGGATGTGAAACTTGAGCAGGAGTTGCAGCTGGAGTGGGGTTTGGAAAGGTATGGGGCAGGAGGAAGGCATGGCATCCCAGAGGAGCTGTGCTCAGTAGAGGCTGGGAGGGTGGACCAGCCTGGGAGAGTTCAGGTGACAATAAGGAAGGCTGGCTGATTGGAGTGAAAAGTGTGTTTTTAAGAAGTGGTGGGAAGTAGAGTCCAGGGGAAGAGTGGGTGGAGGCTTGGACTGAATGTCTTTGGCCTCAGCAGGTTCTAAACTAGGACCCGAGGGCTATGGGAGGAAGCTGAGTCGAGCAACAGGATGCAGGTTTGATTAGAGCAGGGGGAGGCTGGAGGTAGGAGAGCAGCTAGGAAGCCGCCTAGACACTGGGTGTGCAGGGATAGGGGTTGGGCTGAGGTGGGGACAGCAGGGGACAAGGAAGAGATTGGACATGTGTGGTAAAGAACTAATAGTAACACTGGCCAGCATTGATCTATCCTTTTGGGGGCCAGGCAGTATGCCTAGCATCTAATATGCAAAACTCATGTAAACTTCACCACCTTGGTAGAAATGTAGGATTATTATCATCAGAGAAGATAAATGACTCCCTTAAGGTCCTACAGCTAGTACAAGGCTGAACCTGGATTCCAGCTTGTGGGTCTGAGGACATGGCTCATGTTCTTAAGCATTTTGTCACATCTGTGATGCAGAAATGATAGTTCCCAGTAGGGTGTTGGAAAGAGGGGATGCAAATGAGGACTAAGACAACAGTGACTAAATCAGAGGCATTTCACCTAGAGGATTCAGGAGACTGGAAAGGGAAGGTGGTTTGGGGACAGAGTTGTAACAGTGCCCAGGGCCTTGGGAGATGTGAGCAGAGCTGTCCTTTGGAGAAAAGGGTGGTCAGGGAAGGCCTGCTGTGAGCCCTGCCATGCACTGAGCACCATACATGTCTGTGTCCATGTCACTGACAGTCTCGGGAGGTAGGTGGGACTGTCACTTTATAGACGAGGGAATGGAAGTTCAGCAAGGTCAAGCTCTTCCTTGAGGTCATACAGCTGGTTAGTAGTGGAGCCAGGATTCAAACTCCAGTCTCTTTGCTTCCACGTGTGTTTGGTAGATCCCACACTGTATTTGAAGCAAAGGCCCTGAAAAAACGCTTTGAATTTTATTCTTCCTACTTAAAAAAAGGAAAAACCTCTCATTCGCTTTAAAAACTTTACTTGTCTCCTGATAGATGTGGCAAGTTTGTAATGAACCTCAGGATCTTCAGTTAGATGCCATGGAGAGGCCAGAGGGGTGGAGGGCTGAGGACAGTCCTCTGGGGTTATTGTTCACTTGGGGAAGTCACAAGGCAGGGGGTCAGGTCTCGTCAGGTGTCTCTGAGGTGATGACAGGCTCCCACTGTGACAGCCCTGCCCACCTGGCTTACTGGAGGGGCTTTGTGCTTGTCATCTTTCCTGGGACATCCCAGATTGAGTCCCAGATTGAGTGAGTTTGTCAGCGCTCTGATTTCTGCCTTTGAGACCATCTTTGTTGGATTTTATTTGTTTTATGCATGCTCCCACCTTCCTCCTGATGCTCAGAGGAACCTCTGCAATTATCTCCATCTCTTCGCAAACATTTACTCAACATAGGACCACTTGATCTCTAGTCTGTTTGTCCAGCTTGGGACCTTTGGTCACATTTACCTAGCACAGGACATTTCAAGGCCTGGTTAGACAGTGGTTGTTCAATATTTGACTGGTAGTCATCTCGAAGGTGCTCCCAGTGAAAGTATCTTGTACTTCTAGTTGAGATTGGACCTATATTAATAGTTGAAGTGGTAAAGCTCATCTCTTTCTGAGTGTCTCCCCAGGACATTTTAATCCCCACACGCAGCCCTAATTCAGGTCCCTGGTATTTCACCCGAACTCTTGCTTCCAAAGGGAACCTGCCGTCAGCCTCCTTCCCCTACATTGCAGCTGCTCCACTCCCACCCAAGTAATTGGATGCTTTCCTGCTTCAGAATCTTCTTCAGTTCCCCAGTGTCTCTAAATCAAGCATGACTTCTTTGTTCTGCTTGCAACACGTGGCCTTGAGTGACCTGGCCCAGATGGCTCCTGGCCGGTCCTCCCCTCTTCCCCTCGCCACAGCCCTGGCTCCATTCAGACTAGATCTTGCTGTTTCTTGAACGTAGCCTGTGCTTTCTAGCATTCACTTGTGCTCCTGAATGTTGGCTTGGAATGGTCTTGTCCGTTCCCATGTGATAAAATCCTGGTTGTTCGTTGAGTGCATCACTTTGGAGACCTGCCCCATAAAGCTGTCCTTACTTCTGGCCCCTCTTCCCCGTCCCCATTTCCACCCAGCCGGGAGCCTCTCTGATCACCTCTGCTAGAAGTCATCTCCCCCAGAACATTTGAATTCTCCTTCTCTTTCGGCTTTTTATTGTATTCCATCTTGTTTTCTACTTATATGAATACTCATCTTATTTATTCTAGGAACCTATAAAATTCCAAAAGTTGGGAGGAGGGTATCGTTCAAGTGGTAGAGTGCATGCTTAGCATCCACAGGGTCCTGGGTTCAATCCCCAGTACCTCCTCCAAAAATAAATAAGTAAACCTAATTACCCCCCCCCAAAAAGATAAATTAAAAACAAGTCTTTGGTTTTGTTTTTTTTAATTCCAAAAGTCAAGGAACTTGGCCTTTTTTAATTTTTGACTCTCACCGCACCGCACTGGGCACAATGCCCTACACATAGTGGGAACTTGTTAGGATAAGTAAATGAAGCCTTCCTGCCTCCCTGCAGGTGGGAGCGGCTCACCTGCTGGGTCCCTGAAGGAGGCGGACAGACAGCTACTTCATTCCAGGCTTATCTCCCTTTCCTTGAGAAAGCCAAGCTAAGCTTTTGTTTTAAAACAAAATGGGGTCAAGGCCAAATGTGGCAGAACATAGCCAGGGATACTCCAAATCTAGAAAGGAAGCGTAGATAAGACTGTAGCTTAGACCTGGCAAATACTCAGGCCAGTAGGCAAGTCAGGCAGCTCAGTCCAGCAAAAGAGCACCTACTCTTAGGTTCTCGTTCTCGGAAGCTCCACATTAATCCTTGGTTTATATTCAGCAAACTCGGTGAATACTGTAGCATTTACGCTGTTATTCAAGATATTTTGAAACATGGAGAACATGTTTCTGGGTTCAGAGGTGTGCACTATTCCTCCTCCTCAAGTTCCAAAGGCTCAAGGATAGAAGCCGGGAGGCGGCCTCTTCCACCTGCTGTTATCCAGCCAGACTGGTAGGGATAGTACATGGAACTGGCAGCATTTACTTGAATGGACAAACTTTGGACTGGGAAACCTAAGGTGTGGTGAATCCACAGCCCAAGAAGGACATTTGCCTGAAGGTGTCTTACACTGGGGAGCTGGTCTTGGATGTGGCCACCAGTACACAAATGACAGAGAAAATGAAACTGCGGAGGTCTGGACTTGCTAGCCTCTGTAGGGCAGTACCCTTCCTGTAGCGATGATCTGTCCAGAGATGCGGTCTTTCCGTTTAGATGAGATTGGTTCATGCCTGGAGCTGTGTTTTCAGCCTGTGTCTCACAGGCCTGTTGAAAGACTGTTTATGAAAAGTACTAATTATCTCTGTTGTTTGTTACAAATTACTGTTGTAAAAATCAATACACTTCTGTTTTTTTCCCTAGTGATTTGGGGAATAACCACCCAAATTTTCCAAGGCAGTCTTGAATATAAAATCTTTGTACTTGTAAATCATCAAAATGTCACCAATTCCAGTATCTGGCAGCCAAACCATACCTCTCAGACTGTCTCATTTCCCTCTGTAAGAGGCCTGGGCCCTGGGGCCAGAAGTCATTTCTCAAATTGTGTTGCCCAATTTTTGGTCCAGAAAGTATAGTCACTGGAGCTGAGACAGCTTGTCCTGGACTGTTCTCTAATTGCTCTGCCCATGTTCATCTAACTTTCTGTGTGAAGCTAGCAGAAAAATACCTTTAGAGCCCAGAGACCAGTGGACTCATGCCACAGCGGCCTCCACCAGATAACCCCAGACCAGTGTGGTTGCAACATCAGGGTGAAAGGGGAAATGCTCCTCTCCTAACAGATTCATTTTATCTCATACAAGCACCATCACTCAAGAAAGAAACTGCTGACATCAGAGGGGAGCAAAGGGGAAATGATAGGGCTCAAAATTGACAAACGCCTGACATATAAATCCTCTAAACGTTAGTGCAGTGTGGGGTCCCTGCACCAGCGTC